AAACTATAAAGACAGAAAAAGACCAGTGGTTGTCAGGGGCTGGCTTTGAGGAGGGGTTGGCTACAGGAATACAAAGGAGTTGGGGGCGGGGGTGGTGATGAAATGGTTGATCATGGTCTTGGCTACATGATTGTATGTGTCAAAACTAAAAACCTCAAAGGGTGAATTTTACTATATGTAAATTATGTGTTAATAAACCTGACCAAACTAGTGAAACAGATAAACTCTGGTAGGAGTGATGAAGAAAAAAGAGAAAGTCACACAAGTAAAGAACTTTAAAGCTTGAGAAATATAAAAGAAGATAAGATTCAATTTTTTAAAAATCAAAACAATATCTTGAACCACTTTATACAAATGAATTTGAAAAATATATTAAAATAGATAACTTTATAGAAAAAATCATCAAAATTATCTCAATAAAATGAAAAAAACTAACTAAATCAATAATCATTCAGGAAGTTTCACTGGTAATCAAAAGTCTCTCCCACCAAAAGACACCAGGCACATATGGTTTTATAGGTCAGTTTTATCCAAATGTTAAGAAAGTAATAAATTTTATAACCTACAAACTCTTTTAGACAATTAAAGAGGGAAGCTACATGTTTCATTTTATGGGGTTCACATAGCTCTGATAGCAAAAAAGGACAAGAAAGGAAAATTATAGATCATATTCACTTATGAACATAAACGCATACATTAAAAATAGCAGTGTAGCCCTAGCTGGTTTGGCTCAGTGGATATAGAGCAGGGTCCTGGGTTCAATTCTGGTCAAGGCACATGCCCGGGTTGCAGGCTTGATCCCCAGTGGGGGGCGTGCAGGAGGCAGCCAATCAATGATTCTCTCTCATCATTGATGTTTCTACCTCTCTCTCCCTCTCTCTTCCTCCCTGAAATCAATAAAAAATCTTTTTAAAAGAATAGCAGTATATTTTAAAACACACAAGCACACATGCCCACGTGCTCTTATTATAACCAAGTAGAGTTTAGCAAGGATACAAAGATGGTTTAATAGCAATAAATTCTATCGATATTCAGTAGCAAAATACACTACATAGCTGCAGAAAAGCACTTGCTAAAATCAAACACTGGTTCATTGTTAACAACAGTCAGCAAACTAGAAATTAAAAGACAGTTTCGTAACCACATTGATGCCCACAGTCAAAGACTATGAGGGACACGGCTATAGTCACACAGATCCTGTTCCCTGGTACTTGTTGCCACAAGCGAGATTACACACCTCGGTGAGAAGATGCGACCAGGGGCTTGTGTTAAGTATTTGAGGAAGTCTCAAGGCAGCGTGGTTTTATTCTAGCTGCTGCCAGAACGTGAGGGAAGCTCTGTGATTGGATCTTTTTATTTTTATCCAGGAGCCTGCTGGTCTCCCTGGCCCCTGCCTGCTGCACAGCCTGCACCTTTAAAACCTCCCGGGACCATAGTCAAAGCCATGGGAATGGCCCCCAAAGCCACTCATCAGAGTCAGAGTCTCCAGGGCGTCTCTGCCCCTCGGCAGCACCTCCCCACCCATATACCCTTTTGAAACCACACTGAACTCGCCCCAACATCGAAACCCCTTTCACAGGCCCAGGCCAATGTTCACACTTTTAGCTCAGCCTGGGAAGCCCTCCCCCTTGCCATCCCTGTGCTGCCTGGCAAACTCCAGCTGCTACAGACCCAGCTCCAATGTCACTTGCTCTTGCACAGGCTCCAGCCAACTGCCCTTTCCCGGTGTCATCTCCCTCCTCGTCATTCCTGCAGCCTTGTTTCCTCTCCCCTGCCCTTCCTGCGTCCTTCCTCCCTACTCAAATGAAATGCCGAGTCTCTGGGCTGCCTTGCTGGGTGCTGAGGAATCCAGGGTGAACAGGAGGTCGCACATCAGGGACGGAACTATTAAGGTGCCGCGCGTGAGAACCTCAAGGACAGACCAGTGTCATGAATTCAGCCCCGCAGGCCCAGCCCAGCACAGGCCTGGCACTTTGCCGGTACTCGGGGAACATCTGTGAGATGAAAGGAATCTGTTGTGTGTCCCCCCCGACAAGTTGTAACCCCCAGTACCTGTGGATGTGACCTCATTTGGAACCAGGTCTTTGCAGATGTAATCAAGTTAAGGCGAGGTCGTCCTGGATTGGACAGATCTTAACCTGGTGACTGGTGTCCTCGTAAGTGGAGGGGAATTTGGACACAGACACACATGGAAGACACCATGGCAGACGGAGGCAGAGATTGGACTGATGTGTATAAGCCAACAAGCGACTGTGGCCACCAGAGGCAGCCCCCACTGACACCTTAATTGGACTTCTGGCCTCCAGAACTGTGAGAGAACGACTTTCTGGGGCTTTGAGCCACCTAGTTAGTGGGCAATTTGTTACAGCAACCCTAGAAACGAATACAGTGTCCAAGACTCATTGATTCCTGGGTCACATTTCTACCAGGCCCCAACCCAGGGGGCAGAAGCTGCCCAAAACTCCACTGCAGGCTGCTCTCAACTTTCCCTTCCTTTGCACCGCCTGGCCTGAGCCTCCCCTTCCCTGACCAGCAGAGGACCATGCCTCATCCGACACTAGGCGGCGCCAGCAGGCCGCGCCATCCTGCTCCGTGGGCTCCAGCGTTGGCAAAAGGGACTGAGCATGGAGAGTCACCCATGGGCCCAGCTCCCAAATCCAGGAACTGCTTTAAGATCTCAGTGAAGTGGTTTTGTCTGTCTGAGAGAGGAAATCGGATTCTCTCCCCTGCAGACTGTCCTGCCACCAATCCCTGTTCACCCTTGGCAGCCTCAGAGTTTGAGCTGCTGGGGGAGAAGTCAGAGGCCCATGACGGCCTCCCAGGTTCAGCCCTCACAGGCTGGCTGTGCTTTGGGCCGTCCCGTTCCCCTTCGGAGCGCTCTGCCTGTGGAAGTCCAGCCATTCTACTTTCACCCCAGATGCGATTCCCAGAAACAGGCTTTGGTGCTCCCATTGGTCGGGTGTGCTGGGACCTTAGTCCCACACTCCTCCCTGATTATTTAGCTTCTTTTCAAATTGCAATGAATAACTTGTACACATAGGACATTTCACACATAAGCAAGGACATCTGTAAGAAAGGCAATTCTAATTTTGGCAGGTCTTAATACAATTATATATTAGGCTGAAATTGCCCATATGTGACCTTTTCTATTAACCTGCAAAAAATGGCCATTTCATGTGATTCGTAGTTTTGTACGTTGGTACTTTTGTTCCTATAGGTCTCTAGCCTAAAAAGTCCTCTGGTTCCCACTTCTCACCCCACAGCTCCTCTTCACTCACTTCCCAAGTCATGCTGGCACTCCACTGGAGCTTTTCTTTTTGTAAAATTCTGCCTTAAGCTTTAGGTAGGGGTTTAATCTCCTGCATACTCACTGAGGGCAAAGACTGAGTCTTATCTATGACTGTGCCCTGGACCTCTAGTACAAGGCTTTGTATAAATCCTAAAAAGAAAAATTGTGGTCTTGTTGAATGAATTTGCAAATGAATGAGTGAAGAAGTGATTGCAGTGCGAGAGGGAGTGGTCATCCCACAGAGAGGCTATGGCACCAAAAGTTTCTACATCTCCTTGGAGCACAGAGGCTTAAGGGTCTCACGAGACCACCCAGAAGCCACAGCAGCCCCTGTGCTTAGTGTGTTTGGGTTGTGCCTTCACACACACACACACACACACACACACACGTACACACGCCCAGATGTTCAGCCCCAGCCAGCAGGCTTGACCTGCAAACAGGCCGCCTCTGCTGGGGAAGCCCACACTTGCTAAACCCTCTGCGCTGCCTGCCAAGTTGAGAATCATTTCCTGCCCGGGTCTCAGACAGTTCACGCTGCCCCAGATGGTCTGCTCAGGAACATTCCCATGTTGTGAAATTTCCTTCTCTGGGGGCCCTGGGTGTCATGGGAAATAGGAAATGCTGGACAGCTATTTACCTCTCGGTGTGGGATGGGACCGTCCCCAAGCCCTGCAAAGCCTGCAATGCTCCTCCACCAGGGAGCTTGGAGGAGGGACCAGGGCTGCCCTGGGAATGTGCCACCTCTTGCCCCAGGTTCAGATTAACCCCTTGCCTCAGGAACTTAAGATGAAATTATATATATATATATATATATATATATATATATGTCAAAACTGTGATGCCCCCCTAAATTAAATAAGCCATGTGTTTTATATATTCCATATTCCAATAACCCATATGTAATTCAGAGAGGAAATCATAGTTTTGACTTTTCCTCTCAAACATGGATATCTTGGCCTTCAAACTTGGACAGTTTCCAATACGTTTTTGTTATAAAGAGTTAAGCAAACATATTTTAAAAATTAATAAAACAAATGTGAATCAAAACAATATCATTTTCTTTCAACTGGTATATTTTTTAAATTGATAATTGCCAATGCTGGTGAGGTTGTGGGAAAATGAACACTGCCAATGAAAATATAATTTGGGATAACTTTCATTGTGGGCAATTTGAGGTATATCAAAAGCCCCTAAAATGTGCATTTCTCTTGATCCAGCAATTTTCTTTCCAGCAATTTATCCTAAGAAAATAATCTAAAATGCTATCAAACCATTGGTCATAAGAGTTAAAAAAAATGGCAACCTGAAAGTCCAAATTTCCAATATGATAGAAAACTTTGCAGCCTTTAAAGTGATGTAGATGAATGTTTTATGGGCTAATAGACTGTAAATTTAAAAAAACCAAAATACTATTAAAAAGGGATCCTTTTAAAGAGGAGAATACAGGGATAGAAAAAAGAACAACATTGCCAGTAGGAGGTGGTGTTATGGATTTTAATTTTCTTTCTACTGAGATAAAAAAAAGTATTACTTTGGCATATTTAAACGTTTTTAAAAAATAATTTTTATTAATTGCAGAGAGGAAGGGAGAGGGAAAGAGAAATAGAAACATTAATGATGAGAATCATCAATAGGCTGCCTCCTGCACAATGGGGATCAGGCCCACAACCCGGGCATGTGCCCTGACCGGGAATTGAACCATGACTTCCTGGTTCATAGGTCAACGCTCAACCACTGAGCACTGGCCGGGCTAAAGGTATTTTTAAGTATTCTGAGAAAGACGCTGAGAGCTTGTTACTACTTTTGTTGCTGTCTAGGGGTCTCAACTTTCCAAACTGTGAGATGGGATTCCGCAGCAGGGCAGGAAATTCTTTCTCTCTCCTCCCATCCACCTTTCTCAACTCGAGGCAACCACTTCGCAGACAGCCCTTCCCCAGCAGCCCTGCAGGTTTTGTGGGCTTTGTTATCATTGTCCCCACCCACCACCTGCCATCAAAAGGCAACAATCCCAGCGTTGACCCCATGTTGACACGTCTCCCTTCCCCAGCATTCCTTACCTGATGGGACCTGTTTCTGCCCATTTTCTACCTGAAGCTCGTTGGTTAGAACAGTCTGTAAAGGCAGAAAGGAGGTGGTGAGGCCTTTGAGAGGCAGACAGCGTCTGATGCGGTAGGGGTGGGAGTCATTTTAGAACTACCTGGGTTTGAATTAAATCCTGGCTCCACCTTGGGCAAGTTAATGCAGGTCTTCATGCCTGGGCTTTTACGTGGCCTGGGGCTGCAGGTGATAATGGCGCCTGCCTCGTTAGTTGCTGTGTGGATTCCACACTATAGGCTTCCAGCTGTGCCTGGCACACGTAAGTGGTTTTTAAGTACCAGCTATTATCACCGTTTTAAGAGTTGGTAAACTGATCTTCCCTTCACCTTCCTTGCAACTACGGCAATTATGTTTGTGCGGAGCCTCCTGAGGACTGGTGCCACTGAGATTAAGACTGAACTGTTTTCCCACCCAACACTGTGAGGTAGGAAACCAGTCACCCCGACCATTACACCCAGAGCACGAGTGCCCAGTGCATCCCTCCACTCACACCCTTACCACCTGCCGGGAGGGCTCCTTGCTGTCAGCCTGCCTCCCTGGCAATGACCTCTTCACCTCTGCGTGCTCCGCCTCTCCACTTTTTAGATCTCCAACATTCCCTCTCCCACACGGGTCTTCCATCTCTCCATCTCAGAGGATTGCTTCTTCCCCCACAGACCTACAATTTCTTCCATGGTCTCCAGGTACGGGATGCTGCATCCCCCTGAAGTCTCTCTTCCTAAGACATGGAGAGAGCTTCCCCACTCGCCCCCAATGCAGAGCTTAGTAAGTCAATCAGCTCCTTAAACCTGTCAAGCACTTCCCCTTGCTCTTAGGATAAAGGGAAGCTTCCCAGCATGGCTGGAGAGGCCCTGCCTCCACAACCTAGCCTCTGCCCTCTCCCTCAGCCCTGCCATGCAGCAGCACTAGAGTCCTTTTAGTTTCTCAAACTGGCTGTGCTTTCTGCTGCCTTTGCACCCACCCACGTAGTGTTTTGCCCCTTAGCCTCGCTGTACCGGCCCTCACATCTCAGCTTAAATGCCAGTTTGCCCAAAAAGAGCTTTGCCCGCCTACGCTCCCTTACACTTCCCCGATCACACTGTCATCAGGCACCGTTGTAACTGCCTGCCTTCCCAGCACATTAGAAATCCATGCAGGTCTTGCTCACTGCTCAACCCCAGCATGAAAACGGTAGCTGGCACACTGAGAGCGTTTTTAAAGAGAAAAATGTATTCCCACTTATGTTTGTGGTCTCTCTTCCTTGTGGCATGGACCACCTCCCTGTCCTATCTCCATCTCCTGCCAGGCACCTCTCCCCAGAGCTGGTCCTTCATCCCTTCATGAGCTCCTACCCACACACAATCTTTTCAACCTAGGGTTTCTATAAAAATTTTACGGAAGGATCACATCTCTCACAACTGCCTCATAAGAACTTTTTTTATTATTTAGAAATGCAGTTATATACATAGAATTAAAATTAAATTAAACTTTGTACAAATATTAAAATACTATCTTCACACCCACTGCAATGTACAGGATACCAAAAAATATATATAAAATAAAGCAAACCCAAACTGACTGACATCCTGCACATAGTCAATGATGCAAGTGTTGTTTTAAACCATTATGTGAGTACCATTCTGCAAGGTTCCATAGTGGTGTGATAAGCCAGGGCAGGGTGTAGTAGGTGGCCACACAACCCGCGTCCATCTCTCCTCCCTGCTTGGCAATCCAAGTGCTCTGCCCCTGCACCCTCTCCAGAGAGCTCTGCTGCCTGGCGCAGGGTTTAACTTTGAGGTTTCATTCAAAATTCTACTAGGTTTTCAACTGGAGATTACGAGTTTTCCAGCAAAGCTGAGCCTGCCAAGCAAAGTCCCTCTGAGCTCTTCACTGATCATCAGTAATGTCTGTCCCTATGCTGAGCCCCAGGAGGCCTCGAGAGAAGCTCCCAGCCAGTACATCTGGGGTTCAGCTGGAAAGCCTGCATACCACTTCCCTTCTGGGTCCTTTATTCTCTTTGAGGGGAGGGGGAAAAAAGAGCAAGGATGTAGAAATGTTTGCAGCATATTCTGCTCTTGATGTAAGCATGTAATCTGGGAATGGAAGTGACATTGTTACGGGGAAGCAAGTGGTCTGAGCGCTCAGCTGAGACTGGGAGGGAGAGGCTGAGTGCTATCGTCCCTGTGCCACCACTAACGAACGAGGCAGGAAGAAGATACCTTTGTCAGTCTTGCCATTCCACAGAACTTGGGGAGGGCGGGGGGGGGTGGAAGGCAAGATGAATGGGGAAGATAACATTAGTTCCAGTTTTATTTGCAAATGGAGTGTTAGAACACACACTGAAATGCCTTATAACCCAAAAGAACTCACAATTGGCCAGGATTCAGCCCATTTCACAGTTCACGCTGAGTGAAATGGGAACACAGCACATAAAATCCAGAAATGGCAAAAGCTAGAGCCTACTTGCTAAACTAGGGCATGGAAAGGGATGGAAATATATGTGATCTTCACCAAAGACTGGCCCTTGTAAGTCACTGGAATGTAACTGCAAGTTGCCAGGACATAAAACCTGCATTGAGTTATTAGCTCATGTGTGCAAAAAATACCTTTTCAAATAAAGTCCTTTGGTGCTGACCATTCTCCTGGACAAGCCCTCTGCTGGACTCCCCTACAGGTGAGCCCAGAAAAGCCAGGCTATGGAGTTTTCCCACCTGCTCCAGACTCCTCTGACAGCCTCCTTCCTGGCAGCTATAAAGTCCCTAACCCCTTGCAAGGGACAAAAACCCAGAAGCTCCTGGACAGTAGCAAATGGCTGATGGCAAGAAACTGCTCCAGGGAAAGAGAACGAACAGCTGTCATGGATGCCAGCAGGATGAAGCCTGGTTCCTGCACCCACAGGCCCAGAAGTGGGCCTCATCCATGCCAGTGACAAGGGAGTGAGGGGAGGAAGTGAAGAGGAGAGGTGGGGCCAAAACGGGAGGCTCCCATTTACCCTTCTTTCTTTCCTGCCGGCACACAAGTCTGGGTCTGTGCCCCCAGGACAGGGTTGATGGCGGCTGGCTGGAAGAACACTGCAGAAGGAAGGCTTTTCATTTTTCCAAGGCCTGAGCCAGTAACCTATGGGGCTGAATAATCCCAAAACAAAAAGTGCAATCTCTTAGGGGAGGGAAAATGCCAGAGTATGCTATAAAAAAAGAGTAAGATCTCTCATTAAAAGAAAAAACTCGGCTAGAATTCAGGTTTTGGATAACTGGGAATAAATCAGCAGGCTCAGCAGACTCCAAATCCCACACCATGTGCCCTGCTTTCTTTTTTGGAGGAAGACAAGGGCACCCCTGCGGGGAAGGAGAGCCCACGCATAGGGAGGCAGCTGGGTCACGAGGGACCCACCATCCAGATAGGCCCAGAGCCCATGACTGCTGGCAGGCACTCTTCTGGAAATGGCCTCTTTTGAGGCTAAGGACAGCCCCCTGGTACATTTCATCTCCCTCAAAGGCTCTGACCTCTAGTTCTGGCATCTTTGACAACCTGTTCCATGCCTAACCATGCTGGCCTGGGCTTCAGGCACAGAATTCTCAGGCTCCTGGGTGGGAGAGGGGGGAGGAGGAGTGGCTAACAGGCACAGCAGGCACTGCCCTTACCCTGAGAAAGGAAGACAAGAGAAACAGAAAGAGGCCAGGAATGAGCGGGTAGTAAAGTGCGTGTGTGAGTGGAGGCAGGAGGCTGAGAGGAGGCCATTCCCCTAATCTTCCAGGCCACCCACTCCTGGAGCTACCCTGCTTGGTCAGGTATTGAAAAAATATTGGGCTCTTTATTACTTTTACCACCCAAGAGGCTCAAGGAAGGAGCAGAGGGGCAGCATGGGGTGGGGGTGGGACCTCTGAAGTTCCCCAGCCCCAATGTTTCAGAAACAAAAGTAAATGCCACGTTTTTTAAAGATGGAAGCAGCCTGCCTGAGCTTTGCCACCCCAGCCTTGTCAGCATTCACGATGTGGCTAAGGGAGAGCCGAGAGTCGGAGAAGCATCTGGAGCACGGAGCCCACTCCTTCAACACCAGGGCCAGGTGCCAGGCTGCTCTGCAACCCTTTACCCACAAGGGTGTGTGTGTGGGTGAGGACTGCCTCTCAGCCCCTCCCCCTTGCCCAAGACAACCAGGGAGTCATCTGTCAGCTGTGAGCAGGAAGGGACAGCAGGGGAGGGCAAGAGTAAGAAAAGCAGCAGTGCAGCAAACAGCAGGACGCTTCCTGGACCAGTTACTAAGGCACGTGACTGTGGTGAGGAGGACCCTCAGGACTGGGGCTGGAGCTGCCTGCAGCTGCCTGGGGACTTAGTCTGTGCCTCTCAGGTTCCCCTCCGTCACCACAAACCCAGAACGGGCAACTTGCCCTGTCAGGAAGCAGATGGGCAGTCCATGGCATCTCAGCGAGCTCCTGTCCCAGGGATGATTCCCCTCAGAACTCTGTGGGCAGCAAGGTAGCAGGAGCTGCCGCATAAACCCCAGGTGGCAACATGCAACTTCCCCTTATACTCCAGAAAAAGAAAAGCAGAGACCAGGAAGCCACGCTGAAGTAGGAGGCGAGAACTTGCCTATTAGGAAGACAACCATTATCAGCCACCTTCCTGCCCTCCCCTGGGATCCCCTGGAAGCTCAACACAGCAGGGCCAGGAGCTGGCACCTCTGAGCTGGACAGCCGGTGCTGGGTCAGCTTTGGCAGATTTTCCACATCCTCTGTCCCCAGCCAAGAAAATGTGCCACCAGTGTCAACCAAGGGCAGGCCCAAGGACCCACACTCTTGCTCCAGTTAGTCCCTCTTGTCTCCCCAGCTCCCACTCTTGGATCTGCTCCTGATAAGCCCTCAAAGGAAACAAGCCAGACCCAGGCCCACCCCTTGTGTGGCAGGGGGCAGCAGTGCAGCCACTAAGGCTTGTAGGACAGCAACAGGCCTGCGTGACAGGGAACCTGGACAGGGTTGGGGGAAGGCACAAGTAAACACAGCGGTTCTCTGGCCCATGTGGGCTGGTTGGGGCAGCCATCAAAGAATTGGCTGGAGGGCTCCCAGAGGCCCAGGAAAAGGAAGGGTTCAGTCCGGCACATTCAAACATGTTCCCGACACAGATGGGAAGGCTGGACCAGGCAAAAAGCCAGTTCCTCCAGCTGTCAAGCAGGCAGATGGCAAGAATCTTCCTTGAGTTTCCAGCAAGGTGGGCCTGCATGCCCTCAGAGATCCATAGATCCACAGGTGGCAGCTCAGCTAGCCGGGCAGGGTGCTCAAACCCACAGGGAGAGGGAAGAAGGGCAGAGAGGACCATTGCAGAGGAGAGAGGCTGGTGGCAAACCTCATGCTTCTTTCAACAGCGGGATATCTACAGGAAGAGAAGGAAGCACAGTGGTTACCCCATGTAGGTCTCTGCAGCACACCAGATCCCACTGTAGGGGCCCTTAATTTAAAGAAATAAAATGCACTACTCATACTCTTCTAGGTAGTCTAAATCCCTCCCCCCCCCCTTTTTTTAGCACTTTTTGCTCATCTCTCCCCCTGGCTATGTGATAACATCTGAATGTTCAGGCTGGTATTCAAACCTTCTGATTTCACCAACCTGAACCCTCCTCTGCCTTAACTGCTTGTCTGGTTGCTTCTCTTTCTGTCCTAATCTCGCCCTGTGGATAGTACTGAGCTCTGTTCAAGTCCCCTCTCCTCCTAATGTCATTGTCCAGCTGTGTGATAGTGAATAACTGACGCTTCAGGTCCTGACTCCCTACGGTGCTGTCAGTCCCAGACAGCTTGGGCATGGCCTGCAACAAACTCGATAACCTATGTGTTTTGTTTTCTGAACCCCTCATTTTGGCATGTACTCTAGCATTCTTGGTTCCATTATTTTTTGAGGATAAGCCCCATCTTCCCAGGTGACTGACAATCCAAGCAGACAGAGAATGTTTTCTATTTCTTTGTATCAACCCTGAAACCTAACCTGGCACTAGGCACAAGACGGACTCTCAGAATGCTTGTTTGGTACATGGAACAAAGCTAGGTAGCAAGAAGGGAAGTCCTGGCACCATCTTGGCTCCTTAGGAAGGGCAAGGGCTGAGATTTGCACTTGGACATTTGTCACTCTGTGTGGACACACAGTATATGTGCACTTGGACAGACCGTATGTGTGGCTGGCTGCCCATGGGGTCAATGGTTTCCACCTTTAAACCTTGGTCAACAATTTAGTTGACCTTTCCTAGCTCTATATCCTAAAGAAGGAAGGCATGTTGCTAATCATTGAGAAACTCCATAAACAGGATCTGCATTCAAGAATTTCCGATTTCCTTGCTTTCGTATATGCTAACTGTGCCTGGGATTCCCTGGAAGCATAAAGCTTTCTTGGGGGCGGGGGGAGGTTTGTAAGTGCACAAGTACTTGCTGTCAAAAGGGAAGCATCTAGGTTTTGTCTGTATCCTGAACCACACTGGGATTTCATAATAAAATGATAGAGTCAATCCCAACATTCAACTCTCAAGGCCCTGGCAAAAGCAGAGATGTCAGGAGGTGTAGGTTTTGTCTGTATCCTGAACCACACTGGGATTTCATAATAAAATGATAGAGTCAATCCCAACATTCAACTCTCAAGGCCCTGGCAAAGCAGAGATGTCAGGAGGTGGCAATTTCGTTCTACAGCTGGTTTGCCACAAAGGACCTGGAGTCATCTGGGAGGCAGCATGGTACCAAGGCTGCCTAAACAGGCTTTGGAACCGATCCACCTGGCTTCATATCCCAGCTCACCAATTACCAATGGACAGTACCTTAGCCTCTTGGAGCCTCCGTTTCCTCATCCGTAAAATGAGGACAGTAGCATGTAATACCTACCTCTCAGGATCACTGTGAGGCTTAACTGAGATAGTGTAAGAAAACCACTTAGCAAAGGCCCTGGCATAGTCCTATTTAAGACAAAGCAGCTGAATGCTATGGAAAAGAAACAGGCGCCAGTTTCTCTGTCATATGACCCCACACACCTCCCCGTAATTTCTGTCCTTTCAGGAGTATAAAATTACGTGAGGACAGACCTCATCCTCACCTCCAACCAGCGTTTACCCTTTGATTTAGCACAGCCCTGTGGCCATAAATAATTTTGGAGACTCCAAACTATCAAAATTCACAGACCACAATGAAAGTCTCCCTATACAGAGCCCAAAGAACCACCTAGAACTGAGGGTAAAATCCTATTTTGCAGGCTAATACCCCAGGTATTTTCTTTCTTTGTCTCCCTGCTCCCCTAATACACCAATTATTAGAGAGGCTCACAACTTTTCTTACTCCCAGGAGGGCCTGGAGCTGCTAGCAATTCATGATCGGTGTAGACCACCTACCGTCTGTGTAGTCCTCCGATGTGAGGGATAAAAGGCTTTGTATGTCACTGTTCTCTGAATCCGGGGCTTCTTTGTGTGCCAGTTGGCTGTTCCCTGAGCCGGCCACCCAGGAAGAGGTGGTTGCCTGATGCACTATCACAGTCTCTGAGCCCCGGGAGCCCCAGGCTTCACACAGTCCAGACTGGCCCGGGGCCTCCTCCTCTCCACCTGCAGAGGAGCAGGCCCCCTGGTCCTGTAGCTGCTGCTCCCTTGGCCCATTCCTCCCACTAGGCCCAGACCCCTCTGACAGCACAATCTGTACTCTGGGGTCAGCAGGCGGCACGCAGTGACCGGAACTGCCATACACAGCCTCCTCATATGACGGTAGTGCAACTTGGACTCCATCCACCATGATGGAGACCTGGTCCCCAGATACCCCCTGGTCACGCCTGCATCCGGAGGAGGAAAAGACAAAGGAAGAATTAAAATACACAGACAAATAAATACCATAATATTGTACTAACAACACTAACCATTTTTGAGTATTTACTATGCGCCTGACACAGCACTAAGTGCTTTATATACTTTATCGCACTGAATCCTCACCTGAGCCCTTTCAGGTAGAGCTTCACCAACAATGCAGATGAGGCTCAGAGAAGTTAAATAACTTGCTCACAGTCAAGAGCTAGTAAGGGAGGAAGCTGGGATTTAAATCCAGTTCCACCTGCTTCCAGAAACTATCTTCTTTACCTCTGGGTACACAGGCATCTAGCCCTCTGGTCCTGTGCAAAACTGGGAACCTAGAAATAAAGCCATTCATTCAGCACAGCTAGAATAAGAAGTGAGAAAAAGATGGCTGCTACCTGTGACTATAACTAAAAACGACTGTCTGTATGCGTAAATGAGTACAGTGAATGATGTGTAAACTATATCTCCATGCCCAGCCGGCGTGGCTCAGTAGTTGAGCCACCTGTGAAGCAGGAGGTCATGGTTTGATTCCTGGTCAAGGCACATGCCCCAGTTGTGAGCTCAATCCCCAGTGTGGGGTGTGCAGGAGGTAACCAATCATTGATTCTCATCATTGATGTTTCTATCTCTCCCCCTCTCCCTATCTCTCTGAAATCAATAAAACTATATTTAATATATATATGTACATACACACACACACACACACATATATATGTATACATACCCATAAAGTGGTTTTTATCTATTTTATTTATTTTACTCAACATTACGTTTGTGAGATTTGTTCATGCAGACACTTTTTGGGGGATCACTTGTTATGAATATACGCACATACACACTTTTTAAGAAAAATCTGAACCATTTTGAAAGTTGAAGACATTATTCAGTATACACCTCCCAAGAACCTTGTCTCCTATATACAATTATCATTACATCCCAGAAGTTTGACATTGGTATAATACTGTAACATGAATTTCCCCATAAATATATTCATTTCAGCTGTTGTTTGTTTTCATCCAGGACCCGTTTAAGGATCATGCACTGCATTTAACTGCCCTGTCTCTCTTCTTATCTCCTTTAATCTAGAAAAGTCCCCTGCAGCTTTTCTTTCATGACAATTTTTTTTCTTAGACTCCAGGCCAGCTGTCTCCTAGAATGTCCCACATTCTGGACTTGTCTAATTGTTTCTTTGGGATTATGTGCAGGCCAATTTTTTTACTGGAACACAACATAGGTGATGTGTCAGCAGTGCATTACAATCGGAGACGTATGGTCTATGGCTGGACAGCATTATTACTAGACTATTATTAGTTCTCAATTTCTTCATCTGTACTTGGAGATAAAATCTGTGCTACTCAATTCAAATAGAGTACACACTGTAAGGATGACAGAAGTGGACTCATAAAGGTACTTAGAGGTTTCTGGAAGGAAGACAAACTTTGATGGCAAGGTGGCATTAGAAGGCAGTGTGTATTATGGCATGTGCTTAACTTTCAATGTTCAAAATAAAGTTTTTGTTTAAAAAGTAATACATGTACACAGTACAAAATGTAAACAGGGTCTCAAATGAAAACCAAATCTCCCTTCCACTCAAGTCAGGCAAAATCAACCAGTTACCTTTAACAGACTTACTAGTTAACTGCAAAAAGGAAAACCTCCCTAATGTGAATGAAATGCCAAATGCAGTTGACTTTATGTGGAAATAGCCAATTCCTTCAAGTAAACAGTCCCTTCCAAATCCTCTTTATTCTACTAACTGCTTAACAACCTTTAAAAATAGTGGTTAGACCATCAGCCCATGCACTGAAGGCTCGGAGGTTCGATTTCCAGTCAAGGGCACATACCTCAGTTGCGGGTTTGCTTCCTACCCCATCAGGGCACATGCAGGAGGCAATCAGTCCATGTGTCTCTCTCACATCAACAGTTCTCTCTCTCTCTACCGCCCCCCTCCACTCTCTCTGAAAAGCAATGGAAAAAACAAATTGAAACTTAGTTGCCGTCACTGGAGCTGAGAGCTGGCTCCTTCTCGCTCCAGCTCCAAGTCCACGGCCTGCTGAAAGCAGGTATCTGGGGTTTGTTTAGCTTCTATAATTAAAACATTGTTGCTTTCGGAGCTCAGAGCCGGGCCGCGGCAGGCCGGGAACCTTGGCTTCCTCCATCACTGGAGCAAGCAAGCCTCCTGCTCTCTTCAGCTGTGTGGCTGCCAGCCGCCATCTTGGTTGGGTTAATTTGCATATCGTGCTGATTAGCCAATGGGAGGTGTAGCGAAGGTACGGTCAATTACCATGTTTGTCTATTATTAGATAGGATTTACAGGTTCTTTATTCATAATAGCCGAGTCAATTAAAAAGTGAGTTATGTTCATACAGAAATTACTACTGAAAATAAAATTCATCAAACTGTACAGTTAGGATAGGCACAGTTTTATGTATATACTCAAACCTCAATAAAACATAAAAACCAAAAAAAAAAAAAAAAAAAAAAAAAGCTGCTATGCCCAGCTCCAGCCCCAAATAAACAAAATAAAAAGAAAACCACACCCAGTACACAAAGGTTAAACTGAGCCTGGTCCTTGTCTGTAAATTCCAAATCAGAAGCATTTTATTTAAAGCAGTTTAGCCTGTTCTTTCATTCATTTAGCCTGTGAGTGACAACAGTGACTGATGAAGGGCTTGAATGAACAGAAACTGTTCCCGAGAGAGAGGGAATGAGCTACTGCAGAGGCCATGACAGCCTGGGAAAGAAGTCCATCTAAGGGATCCACTTGGGGCCACTCCTCACCATTGGCCAGCCTCTCCCCAACCACACCCACCCAATCTGGAATGTGGCTAATGCACTCAACTGGAAAAAGTCAGGCAAGAAAACACCTCCTGTTTTAGTATGGTATAGTGCACTGGCTCCAAGTCCTAGCTGCACATTGGAACACACTTAGGAACTTCGTAAGACACTAGTGCCAGATTCCCATTCCAAACCAAATAAATCAGAATGGCTAGGGCAGAAGCCCAGGTGTTGGTATGTTTTCAACTCCGAGCAGGAGTCTCTATGTGCAGCCAGGATTGGGAACCAGGTATATTGGGCAGTGACTTGTAAATATGAGCCTGCATCAAATCACCTGGAGGGAGTGTGGAACCCTGGCATTGAGCCTCAACCCCAGAGTTTCCAACAGTTGGTCTGGGGTGGGAACTGAAAATCTGCATTCCTAAAAGTTCCCAGATGACACTGATGCTGCTGGAACCACACTTTGAGAACTACTGATGTAAGAAAAAGGACATGGTTTTGGAGTTGGACATATATGAGTTCAAATCTCAGCTCTGTCATCATCTAGAGCAGCGGTTGCCAACCGGAGGTCCATAGACCAGTGGTGGTCCGTGAGGTCTGAAAGGTTGGCAACCACTGGTTTAAGGAAACCTTTGCAGCAGCAGTCACCAAACAGTGGTCTGTGGACCAGTGGTGGTCCACAAGGTCCGAAAGGCTGGCAACCGCTGATCTAGGGCAAGCATGTCAAATTCATGGCTGGTGGGCCGCAAGTTTGACATGCTTGATCTAGGGATGACCTTGAGTAAATGACTTAACCTCTCTGAGCTTCAGTTTCCTTATCTGCAATGCTCCTGTGAAAAATTTTTGAAACAATTTATTGGGGTTACATTGGTTGATAAAATTATATAGGTTTAAGGTGTACAATTGTATAATACATCATCTGTATATTGTACAGTGGGCTCATCCTATGAGGATTAAGATAATGTATGCAAAGCAACAAGCACAGTGTCAGGCACATCAGCGGATGACAGAGCCCACCCCTTCCCTGGGCACATACAGGCCAGCAGGTAGACATGCCAGCCAAAGGCCAATCCCACAGTGATGCCTGCCACCCGTGCTCACCTGCTATGATGGAACGACTTCAGCTTTGGCTGCAGCAACACAAACAGCACCACAAGGAGGAGAATGAGTGCCACGGAGCTGGCAGTGGAAGCCACAATGGACAGTGTGGGGACCCCAAATGATGTCTTGGTGTCTTTCTCTACAGAAACAAGCCATCATCAGAAGAGATTTGTATCCAGACAAATACAACATGAGCCCCACAGCTGATCTTATCAAAGGCCCCCTGCATGGTGCTGTGCAGAGACATACATTGGCCAAGGACATTTTTAGGAGTAACAGTGCAAAACAGTTTATACACACAAGAAAAGGGATCATCTCCCTATCCTGTTCCTGAATCTAATATTCCCTTCACTGTACACCTAAACTCACTCACCTGGAGATCTTACCTTTTTAACCACTTCTGTTACTGTCCCCAGTAGCCAGCTGGTAGACAGCAACCATTTAAATGAACACATCAGTCCACCATTTTAAGTCCCACCTATCTTTTTCCCTATGTGGCAGAAAAATTTTAAGAACTGGGCTATAATAACCTTACCCTGTTCTAAGATGATGCAGTTTTAGTTGTTAACTCTCAGGCTGGTTCCCACCCTTCTCTGGGATGTGATGGCCTCAGAGCCCGAGTGTGAAGCACAAAGATGGCTGTATACTTTCCTGCAGGCAGCTGGATTTTCCCGTCATGCATGACAGGAGGTGGGGGAGGTCTTCTGTCCAGCTGGACTACAGCTCCATAACAAAACAGTTCATTACCATTCAAAAATAAAAATATAAAAGAGACACTATAGAAGGTGTTAGCATGGTGCTCATGTGTTAGCAGAACACGGTCAAAGGTCACCAGCACTTGGCTAGGCAAACAAAAGATCAGGAGCATCAAAGGGATCTTACACAGCCGAACAGATGCCTCAACAAAGCTACTGAGCCCCTTGTGGTTCAGACGAACCACAGTGGGACACACACGAGCAACCCCAAAGGAAGGGAGTCTGCAGGGCATCAAAGGGCCCATACTGCCCCACAGCACAGGATGCTCAGGAAGAAGCGGGCACCACTTCCCTTGAGTTAAAAGAAAACAGAACCCCTTTCTCATCTGCCAAACTAACCCTCGTTAAGATGGCAGCTAATCTCCATGGCTGGTTTCCATTCGCCATTCTTACACGTCAGGTATTTGTAATCGCCCTTTAGCATGTAGCCTTCAGCACACAGGTACTCGATGACACTGCCTGAGTTCAAGGGGTCTCTGCAGGGCCGGGGGTGGCAGACGTAGCCACCATTCTCTGGCTCCGGGGGCAAGGAACACACTGCAAAGACAGAGAGTGAGAAATAGTGGTGAGGTTTTCCAGTGGGAGTCCTCTCAGTGACTCAGAGGACAGTTCCAAAGGCTCCAACAAGAAACACAAGGAGTACAGAGCCAGTGTCTTGGAGAGGCTGTTGGCCCAATGCGGAAATGCAGGTTGCCACTGAGAGAGTGAAAGGCGCTGGCAATGATTTTAGTTTGGCTGATTCCAACACTCCTCTCCCCATTGTTCCCACAAGCGAATGGTAGACTCTGACGAAGTCCTGAACTTACAGAGATCTAGCACATAATATGGCTTTAATAACACCTGCTGAAACACACAATGAAATCAGTGAAAGGTGGTAAAAAAAACTCTTAATTTGCATGGGGGGAAATGTTAGCCTTATTTCCAGTATCAATACCATTGTATAATAAAAATGTGCCTTCTCGCCTGGCTGGTGTGGCTCAGTGGTTGATCATCGAACTATGAACCAGGAGATCACAGTTCGATTCCCGCTCAGGGCACATGCCCAGGTTGTGGGCTCGATCCTCAGGGTGGGGTGTGCAGGAGGCAGCTGATCAATGATTCTCTCTCATCACTGATGTTGCTATCTCTCTCCCTTCCTCTCTGAAATCAATACAAATATATTAATTAAAAAAATAGCCTTCTCAGTGGCAGAGGGGATTTCTAATGGATTTCCTGGGTGCACCTCCCACTTCCTGACTATAATAATTCACTGGCATCACTTGTCTCCAGCCCATAGTAAATCTTACATTTTTTTTGTTGGGGTAAGACTGTCTAGTTTTAAAAGCACCTTCCACAATATAATATACAAATGATATATCTTACTCGTTCTGACAACTCCATGAGGGATTCGTTCTGACATCCCCTTTGAAGATGAGGACAGCGAGGCCCACAAAAGTTAAATAACTTTTAGCCAAGTGTATGCAGATTAAATAGCAGATCTGGAAGCAGAGTCAAGTCTTCTGGTTCTAAAACCTGTGCTCTTTACACCATCAGACACTGCTTCTGCCCCATTAGCTGAGTGGGCCTTTAAGAAGTGTCAAGTATATCATTCAAACACTGGGAACCCCAGTGTAGAGAAGTTGCAGTAATGATCAGTCAGAGAAGCTGGAAGGTGGGAGGTCCGAGCAGCCTGGAGGGGAGATTCCATGGCCTGCCCTTCTGACCCTGGACAGACACCGCAGAACTGAAATCCCAGGATGTGGATTAAGTGGTGTACTTAGCCAAAATAGGAGGGGCACAGTGTGGGCACTAAGGGATCATTGTTTGGAAGACTAAGCTGGGGGAGAAGACCCACTGGCTGGATGGCCAGGCACCCACAAACTTTAACTTTCCGAAGCCTTACTAATGTAAGAAAGGTAAAAGTTTCCAAAGGACAGTTGATTTTGCTAACACCCTGCCCCCTATTCTGAATACCACAAGGACATCAGTATTGAGAACAGGAACTGTGGGTTTCTTGTTTTTTTTTGTTTTCACTTCCTCTAACAGACCTAGAGTCTCTCTGTCTGTCCCAGATATGGCGATCTCCCATTCAGAGGCCCACCCACTACTCTCTCACTCAGAGGTGCCCTTACAGCCTCTCACCGAATACCACTTCCCTTCAACCTACAAAATGTTCTTAAGCAAGCTGACTGTTGGTGAGGATAGAGGATGGCTCCCTGCTCTCTAGTTGCTTATCCCTAAGATGGGGGCAAACTCCATTTTAAAAGAGCTGTTACTAAAACAAAGCTGGGATAGGTGCCACAGGGATCAGGAGGAGAAGTCTGAAACTACGAGATGAGTCCACTAGGAGATGGGTCCACATGTCTCCTCGGTCCCAAGGACACACCTTCCCCAGACTGTTTCCAAGCCACCAGGACGCAGACAGACACCAAACACTCCTTCTGGTGCCTCTTTCAACTTCGGCCAAATAGTTCAAAGAGCTGGCCAGCTACATTTCCAAAGAAACCTCAGCAAACTGCTTCACCCTTTACCCCTTTTGTTCAGGCAACAAGCCTGCCACACAGATGCCTCCAGCTCTCCTCCGACTGTGTCTAATTGGTTCATTTTCTCAGCATAATTAATGCAGAGCATCCCTGAAGCAGGCAAGACCCCCACACAGGTCCAGCGTGTTGGGAAGGATGGTCTCCAGGGAAGAGCTGATTCTAAAGCCACTCCTGCTTTGCTGGGAATTTATGCTCTTAAAGCCCACATCTTCACAGGATCTTTGAGTGAGATCCTGAAGGTCACCTAGCACTCATTTTTATAAGTAAAAAAGTGAGGTCTACAAAGAAGTGACTTGCAATTCAATTTCATTTCAATTCAACTAATATTGATTGATTACTGGGTAAGGGTCATTGTGCTATGCTCTGAAAAAGGATAAAAACATAAGGACTTCGCCCCGCCAGTGTAGTTCAATTGATTGAGTGTCATCCCATGCACCAAGAGGTCACCAGCTTCATTCCTGGTCAGGGTACATTCCCAGGTTGCAGGCTCGGTAGGGGGCATGCAGGAGGCAAATAATCGATGTTTCTCTCTCAATGATGTTTCTATCTCTCTCCCTTCCTCTTTCTCTAAAAAAAAAAAATCAATAAAAATATATTTTTTTAAAAACACATAAGCACTTCAGATACTTGTAGTCAAATAGGGATATGACAAATAATTACATACATATATTTTGAAAGTCATTTTCTTTATAGCTCCCGAGTTTTGTGTCTTAAGGACACTTTCCTTACTCTGAGGTTATAAAAATATTATCCAGAACTTATAGATTGGATCTTCTTTATGCAAATAATACCTTTACAGGGGAAAAACACACAGTAAGAATATATACGTAGTATAAAATTTAAAAACTAAGATGAGTGTAGAGTCAAAAGTTAGCTCTTCTCCTGTCTCCTAGTCACTCAGTTCCTCTCTCCAAAGGCACTGGATGAGTATTCTTTCAAAGATATTCTACACACAGATTTATTCCAAGACATGTCAAAGAATGTGAATGGTGCCACAAGAGAGGGAGCTCAAAGCAGGAGAGATCACATCTTGTGTGGGAGAGATGAGAAAAGGCAGCATTTCAAATGGGGCTTTATTTTCTTGGGAAAGGAGGTGGTAGTTTGAAGCAAGTTCACTGATGTAGGAAAGTGTAGTTGTTAAGCCCAGCCAACATCAAGTATCCCACATTAGCTGGGTTGGGTAATAAAAAAATTTGGCCCCCCAAAAATGTGAAGAGCAATGAAACCATCTTGAAGAGGGCCTTGATGGCAACAAGAGATGTTCGCACTGTATTAAAAAGAAAAGGGGAGCCTCTGCAGGGTCTTGAGAAAGGCAGAGTTATAACAGGAGCTGAATTTGATATAAGATGGACCAGAGGTAGAGACAGCCTTTACAGTAAGTCAACAGGATAGCTACCCTATTAGGGTAAAATAAATAGTACAAAAGTTCTTTTATGGTCATACAAAGAAAACAAGAGTATATGAGGTTCACCATCACAAAAAGGCTGTCCCAGGTCCAAGGAAGGAAATAAGGAGGACTCAAGAATTTTTTTTTAAAGTATTTCAAGACAACAAGAACCTAAGGGGGGAAAAATGGCCCCCATGCCAATTCAAAGAGCAGAGTGGGAGTCTTGGCAAAGGGCAGGTGTTGGAGCAGACCCCCTCAGTGACGCCTGGGATTAACAGGAAAGGGAAGATCAGGAATAGCAAATAAATCATTGAGTGGCTTCCTGAAGCTACTGTTTTGGGCAAGAAGCTGACTTAATCTGAGCATCAGGCTCGCTCTCTGACAACCCTGGTCCGCAGAGGGAGTTTCAAGCTCTGTTGTTAACCCCAAGAAGACAATGAACTCATCTGATTTGGCAAAGCTGCATAATTTTAAAAAGAGAGTGAGAAAGCCAGAAGATAGAAATTTTACAGGAAAAAAATAAAAATCAATTCTCCTTACTTAGCTTTCTTCTCTGCTTTACATTATCTCTCGCAATCACTTAGGCTTCCAGTGAGCACAGGAAGCAACGAGATAATGCTTCAAGAGGGCCTGGCAGTGTGCCTGACGCACAGCAGTCATTCAGTGACAGACCATCCAACCACTGGTGAGGTGAGTGTGCAGACAGAAGAGAAGCAAAATGATCCGCTGATACTTCTACCTCAATGTCTCTGCAGCCTCAAACTCTCAACAGAGATCAATAAGAACAACCCTCAATCTGCTCTTCAATGTTTTTTGCATTTGTTGTTTTGGAGACCAGCTTTTTTAGGAGGAAGAGGCAAATTAAAAGAGAACAAACCTTCATAAGATTACATAAAAAGCAAATCAAGCCCTAGCTGGTTTGGCTCAGTGGATAGAGCATCGGCCTGTGGACTGAAAGGTCTCAGGTTCGATTCCGGTCAGGGGCACATGCCTGGGTTGAGGGCTCAATCCCTAGTAGGGGGCGTGCAGGAGGCAGCCGATCAATGATTCTCTCTCATCATTGATGCTTCTATCTCTCTCCCCCCTCTCCCTTCCTCTCTGAAATCAATAAAAAAAATATATATTTTTTAAAAAGTAAATCAAAACAAGCTGCAGGGAAGACTTGGGCGGGGGTGGAGAGAGGTGGGGGAGGGCGGTGGTTACAATGTTCCATTTAACAAACTGAACAAATACTTGAGTCCCTTCAAAACAAAGTGTGGGGAGTAGTCGTGTGCAGATCAGCTTGAGGAAAGAAGCAGACATTTAAATACCCAGTGCATTTTAAAAAGATCTCAGTAAAAGAGGTTTCAGGCTGATGACAGTTATCAAGAACACACGACACTCCTGAACAGTGATGGAGGGTTTAAGAAATTGTGTCAGTGCTCACTCACAGGTTTGAAATAATGTAGTTTTAGACGAAATCAGTGCGGTAGAACTCCTGGGCACACAACAACAGTGTGCTGAATAAAAGTTTGGCTGGAGAAAGATTTCCTGGGAATTTAGGGAAGAACAGAGGTTCTCCAAACCAAGCTACCAACATGGCCGTTGTAATCATCAGGGACACAGCTGAGGCAGTATCATAAATGTCC